TGGTGGTGCTGCTTGAGGTGCTGCTGCAGCTGCTGCGTGGGGCGATGCTGCTGCTGCTGCTGCTGCTGCTGTGCTGCTGCTGCAGGGCCTGTACCGCAGCAAAGAGGAGTTTGGGGGGGACTTGCTGCTGATGTTTTCTAATTGTCGTCTTTACAACAGCAGCAACACCATTTACTACAAATATGCTGATGAGCTGCAGCAGTTCATTTGGCCCAAATACCAGCAGATGCAGGGGCCCTAGACGCTGCTGCTGCTGCTGCTGCTGCTGCTGGTCTTGCTGCTGCTGATGCTGCAGCGGGGGCTGAGGCTGCAGGGGCAGCAACAGCAGAGCAGCCTTGCTGCCCGCTGCAGAAGCAGCAGCTGCAGCAACTACAGCAGCTGCTGCAGCAGCTGCACAGCTGCAGCAGCAGCGGCAGCAGCAGCAGCAAGTGGAGCAGCAGCTTTTTTCTGGTTGCTCAATGGTGCATTTCTTTGGCTCTTCATTTGCTGACGAATTTGTTTGCTGCCTTTTTTAAAGAGCTGTCCACAGAGGCCAACCAAAGCCTTCCTGCCCGCCGCTCCTAGGGTTTAGGGTTTAGGGTTTAGGGTTTATGAAGGGTCACTCATTTTTTGAAATTGTTTGGCTGCACGAGAGTAAATAGTGAAAGAAGCTGCAGCAAAGTGTTTAAATGAAGTTTGATTTAATTTTTAATTTAAAATTCAAATAGAAATAAAAAAGACACTCGAGAGGATTCCAATTCGCTGCAGCACTGAAAGCAGCCGAAACGCATCTTTTCTTTCAATTTTAATTTTTAATTCTTTTTTAATTTCAGTTTTGCTTTTTCTTTTTTATTTTTTATCTTCAATTCTTTTTTATTTATTCTTTTTACGTTTAATTTCCGCTCAACTTCCACCTTAGTGTCTGCAGCAGCGCAGCAGCAACCCCACCGCAGCAGGGGCCCCCACCACTCCGCAGCAAATTCAACTTCTGCCGGTTTTCCCTTTTCCGGAGGACCAAAAGGAGATTTAAATCGACAAATGGATCAAATTTAACAATTTAAACAATTAAAGCGCTTTATTTGGAGAAAAAGGAGGAAAAAAGAAGAAAAAAGAAGAAAAATAGGCTCAAGGGGGGCTCCGGGCCCCTCTCTGCAATGCAGTGTATGTTCAACTTCCGTTTTACACTCCATTTCTTTTCCCCAAGTTAATTCATTTAATTCTTTTTGAAATTTCATTAGATGAACAAATAAGGCCAGCAGACTCACAAACCCCAAACCCTAAACCCTAAACCCTAAACCCTAAGACGGGGTTTCCGTCTTTTCTTTGTTTGTTTTCCACTCGTTCTTCCTGTTGCTCATCTGTCATTTATTTTCTCTTTTTTATTTTCATTTATTTTTATTTCTTTTTTTGTAGCTGCTGCTTCTTCACTTGCTGCTGCTTCAGTGGCTTGCTGCTGTCACAATGACTGGCTTGCAGACTGAAGCGCGCAGCAGCAGCAGCAGCAGCAATAATAATAATAGTAGCAGCAGCAGCAACAATAATACTAATAACAGCAGCAGCAATAACGACGGCGGCAGCAACGATAACAGCAGCAGCAGCAACAATAACGGCAGCAGCGGCAACGGTAACAACAGCAGCAACGGCAACAGCAGCAGCAGCAACGATAACAGGAGCAGCGGCAACAACAGCAGCGGCAACAACAGCAGCAGCAACAGCAGCGCCAGCAACAGCTGCAGCAGCAGCAACAGCAGCAGCCACAGCAGCAGCAATAGCAGCAGCATCCGGCGAAAGCGCCGCTTTCCTCTTTTATCAAACTCGGAGTTAAAGACAGGACAATCTGAGCGCTCGAAGCTTTCAAAACCCGCAGCAGCAGCAGCAGCAGCAGCAACAGCAGCAGCAGCAACAGCAGCAGCAGCAGCAGCAGCTCCGTGGGACTCGTGTTTGAGCGAGAGCCTAGACTTCTGCCGAGATGCGGCCAGTTTGCTGCAGCAGCTGCAGCAGCGCGTGCGCAGCACCGGCGAGCAGCTAGCTGCTGCTGCTGCTGCTGCTCCGTCTGCTGCTGCTGCTGCTGAAGAAGGTGGAAATGGAAGAAAGAAGCAAACGGAGCAGCAGCTGCTGCTGGAAGAAGAAATAAATGAATGTCTTGAGAGAGTGCAGTAAGTGCTTCCTGCTTCTTGAGGTGTACGTACACTTCAGAGCTGTCCGCAGCAGCAGCTGCTGCTGCTGCTGCTGTAGCTCCCGGTGCTGCTGCAGCTGCTGCTGCAGCTGCTGCTGCAGCTCCTGCAGCAGCTGCTGCTGTAACCCATGGTGCAGCAGCTGCTGCTGTAACCCATGGTGCAGCAGCTGCTGCAGCCGCTGCTGTAGCTGCTGCTGTAGCTGCTGCTGCAGCTGCAGCTCTTGTGGCCCCAGTTTTTTTGGCTGCAGCTTTTGCTGCTGCTGCTGCTGCTGCAGCCTGGGGTCTTTTGCTTCTTCTTTTATTTCTTTTTATAATTCACAAATTATTTATTTTAATTAAAAGCAAATTCGCCACATTTATTGTTCTGCCGTTTTCTTTTATTATTTATTCATTTTATTTCATTCTTTTTTATCATTTATTTATTATTATTTATTTGTCTATAATTAATTAAGTAATTAATTAATTATTATTTATTTATTTATTTATGATTAATTATTTTTTATTCATTTACTTATTTATTAGTTATTTATTTATTTATTTATTTTTATTTTATTTAATTTTTTGCTGCAGAGAATTTCGGTGTTTGATGTTGGCCGTTTTGGCTGCGGTGAATTCAAATCCAATTTTCAACAATGTGGAAAAAGAAGTAAATCAAATATTTATTTATTTATTTATTTATTTATAATTAATTATTTATTTTAATTGATTTACTTTGCAGAAGTTTGTTCAGCAGCTTGTCATTCGCCAGGCAGCAAGAGCTGCAGCAAGAAAGCAGCAGCAGCAACAGCGGCAGCAGCAGCAGCAGCAGCAGCAAGAGGCTGCAATTCTGCTGCTGTGCTTCGCAATTTTCATTTTCCTGTTTGCTGCAGCCTGTGGGGGGAGCTCTAAAGGAAGCCACAGACAAAGCCATGAAAATTTTCAAGTTGAAAGAAACTGCAGGTTCGCCTTGCTGCTACTGCTGCTGCAGTTGCTGCTGCTGCTGCAGTTGCTGCTGCTGCTGCTGCTGCTGTCGTTGCTCGACTTCGTGCCTGTGCTGCATTCATATGTGCTGCTACTGCTGCTGTCACCTCTACTGCTGCTACTGCTGCTGCTGCTCTTTCTGTTGCTGCTAGCAGTGTTGCTGCTGTCTTCGTTGCTGCTGCTGCAGCTCCCTGCTGCTGCAGCTGCTGCTGCTGCTGCAGCTGCTGCTTGTGGAAATGAATAAAAAGAGATAAAATGGATTAATTTGATTTTTAATTATTTGAATTCAGACGAAGAGGCGAAGCCGCTGGCGAGTTCTCTTCTTGGTGTTATAAATTCCTCGAAGAAGTTCATGTCAGTGCTGGCCAGCAGAATCCACACTTTGGAAAACAGGTGAAGCAGAAGTCCGGAATAATTCATTTTGGCGAACTATTTGCATTTTAATGTTTAATTTAATTAATTATTTGAGTTTATTTATTCATTTAAGTTCAAATGAGCAATTAAAACCAAATTTTCCGCCTGTGGATCGTCTTGAATTGAATTCATCTCGCGCTGAACCGGAATTTTCTGAATGTTTAAAAGCAGAAAGTGCTTAAAATGGATTTAAATTCATTTCAATTCATTTTAATTCATTTTAAAAAGCATTTCAAACTCTTTTTTGAAAGACAAGCATTTCTGAAGAGTAGATGGAAGTGAACGGAAAGCTGAACGCCGGCTGCTGCTGGGGTGTATGCTCAGCTTTCTTGCAAATTGCAAAACTGTTCAAAGAGTGAAGGTGGCATTTTCCTTCAGATATATTTATATTTTCGACTCTTGACATTTATATTTCAAATATAAACATTTAAAATGTAAATATTATATTCAAATATAATTATTTCGTTGAAATATCTCGGGGGTGGTAGGCACTTGGCCTGCGCAGCAGCAGCATGCTGTTTGAATCTGAGTTTGTTTCTTCTTTTGTATGCGCCGCATTTTTTCCTTTTTGTTTTTTTGCTTTTATTTATTTAAAATAAAAGATAATTTAAATCAGAAATTGCATCAAATGATTGGGGTTGCCGGAAATGATTTGAATTTCCAGTTTTGCTGCTGCTGCAGCGCAGCAGTCTGGCTGACCCACGGCGCGGAGATCCTGCCTTATTTGCTGCAGCTGCAGCAGACTTTTGCTGCGCTGCAGCAGCAGCAAAAAGAGGCAAAAGCAAAAGAAGAAGAAGTGAAGAAAAGAATCCGCATCAAGGAGCTGCAGAAACAGGAAGTCCGCCAGCTGTAGATACACCTCAACCCGCGTTTTGCCTCTTCTTTCTTCTTTTCTCTTCGCCATTTATTTTCTCTTTTCTGTTTCTCGCTTTACGCAGTTTATTTAATCAAATTAAATCAAATTTAATTGATTTTCACCTGTTTTAATTGGTACAAATTAAAAAAGAATAAATTTAAAATAAATTCAAAATAATTAATTTGAAGTGAAGGAGAGATTTGCTGCAGGTCAAGTTCCGCCTCGAAAAGACAAAAGAAGAGTTTCGTTTGGCCCGTTTGGACTTGACGAGAGAAGAACTCGAAAAGATTTCTAAAAGCGAAAGAATGCAAATCCTCGAAAACAAGTACGCAAGCAGCAGCAGCAGTTGCAGCAGCAGCAGTTGCAGCAGCAGGTACAGCAGCAGGAGCGGAAGCAGTAGGGGCTGCAGCAGCAGCAGCAGCAGGGAGGCGGGCGAAGACATTGCACCAGTGTCTCTGTGGGGTTCGTACAGTTGGAAGAACAGTTTTATTCTTTGTTTCAACAAATGATTTATTTAATTTGTTTTTGAATTAATTTAATTCTTTTTGCTTTGCTTTCAGGCAAGAGGTCCTGGACAGAGAGCTGCGAAGCTTGGCAGCCTTTTCTCCTCTTTTTATTGTCGAAAGAGCCGCCAAGTATATAACCCTTCAGTACAGAGTGAGAAAAGAGGAATTTCGCAATTAAATTCGAAAATAAGTTCAAAAACGACCCTAAATAGTTCAGAAACAATTCAAAATGATTTAAAACGGTTTTGAAATAATTTGAAAATCTGGAGTGCCGGGTGGAGCCGGTCGCTGAGGTGTACGTACACCTCGGCGAGCGCCCTTTCGCGCGGAAGCGAACCCGCCCCGTTTTCTGGGGAGAAAATTTGAGAACAGTTTCGAGTAAAAAAGTGTGAATATAATTTTGAAAATGAAGCTGAAAGGTCTCGAAAAAAGCACGAGTTTCGGGTTTTTTGGGTCGCTTTCCCGCGCTTTCCGCCGCAGCCCGAGGGCTCCGCCGTCGACTACGAAATCTCCATCGAAGGCCTCGACTTGTCTTTCCGCAGAGGCTGCAGCCGCCTCTCTTCTTTTTTTTCTGTTCATTTCAGTCCTCCGAACCCTCGAGCTTCTCTCCTTTTGGAAAAGGCAATTGCGGACTTGCTGCGCCTGCTGCAGCAGCTCGCCCCGCCCCAGCTGTGCCCGCAGCCTGCAGCAGCAGCAGCAGCAGCAGCGCCTGCAGCAGCAGCAGCAGAAACAGCAAAACATGCAGCGCCGGATGTTCTGCTCGAGTACCTCGCTGGGGTTCTCATAAAAGTGAGTTTTGATTCATTTCAAATGATTTATAATTCGACAAGTTTCCTTTCTTTAAACAGAATAATAATGTCTGTTTTAATATTTAATTCCAAATAAATATTTAATTCCAAATAAATATTTAATTCCAACTAAATATTTAATTTCAAATAAATATTTAATTTCAAATAAATATTTAATTTCAAATATATATTTAATTTCAAATATATATTTAATTACAAATTCCATTTTTTGAATGGCCTGGCTGCTGCGCTGAAGAGCAGCAGCAGCAAAAGCCTTTTCTGCTGCAGTCGAACAGCACTTTTATTTTTATTTTATTTTATTTTATTTTTATTTTATTTTTATTTCTGCTGCTGCTGTTTATTTATTTGCTGCATGCAGACCCTCAGCTCCTGCTTCTCTACGCCCTCTCCGGCTCCCCGAAGTTCTGCTGCTGCTGCTGCTGCTGCTGCTGCTGCAGAAGCAAAATGAGCAATGAGATTTAATTGAAAGATATGTTTCAAACACTAATTGCTGCTGTCCCCAGCACAGCTCTAATTAATTAAAACGGAAAACTGAATTTTTCATTAATTGAATTTGTCCAAAAGGCCATCGGGAAAATCAGAAAAGTTTAAATTAAAAAAGAAATAAATTAAAAAGGAGACATTTACTTCTTTGCTGCTCCTGATTTGTATTTTTTGAAATCAACAAAAAGACAAAAGACGCAGTTGCTGCCAGCAAAAGGACCGCGGCTCTGCTGCTCCACGCTGCTGCAGTGCTGCAGCTGCTGCTGTAGTGCTGCTGCTGCAATGTTGCTGCTGCTGCAATATTGCTGCTGCTGCTGCAGTGTTGCTGCCGCTGCTGCAGTGCTGCAGCACTTAGTGGAAACAGTGCAGCTGCAGTTTTAGGAAGTTTGGATTTTTTGGTGAAGTTGAAATGGCTGAGGCAGCAGCTGCTTCTCGTTTTGAAAGTAGAATAGTAAATAAATTTACTTTTGAAGTTTTTGAGAATAAAATGAAACATTAGTTTGAAAATGAAATGAAATATTATTTTGAAAATAAAATAAAGTGTTCCTTCGAAAAAAGGAAAGCCGGCTGAGTTCGGGGGCGCAGGCATTCGGGTGTACGTACACCTCAAGCTCGCGAGAAAAGGAATCAGAATTCTTTTCTTTTTGAACGCAAAAAGGGGAATTAGTTCAAAAATAGTTCTGTTTATTCTTTTTAAATTCAAAATGAAACATCTTTCTGAAAAAGGACTTCTGCTGGCAGTTCTGCTGCCGCTCTTTTCCCCCGTTTTTGGCTTCATGTGTTCTCCGGAGGTAAACAGAAAAGTTGAATTTGAATTCAAGTTGAGTTCTGAGTTCACTTTTAAGTCAAGTTCGAATTTAAATTCAAATTTAAATTCAAATTTGAGTTTAAAGTTGAATTTGAATTCGATTGAAGTTGAATTAATTTAAGTTGTTTTGAATTTATTCTGAATTGAATCCAAACCCCAGATTTGCCAAAGGTGCTGCAAAGCCACACAGACCGGCAAGTCCAATTTTTGGCGAAGACTTTTTCATTTTTAATTTCTTTTATTTGAGGGCCTCAGGCTGCGAAGCTGGTAAAGAAAACAAAATTAAATTGTTTGAAATAATTAATTAATTAATTAAAAATAATAAACATAAATTAATTGGAAATAATAAGTAGTGAATTAATTGAAAATAATGAATGGTAAGTGTGTTGAAAATGTTAAATAATTAGTAAACTCGAAATCATAAACGATAAATAAATTCAATAAATAAACAATTTAAGAATAATAATGTGAACTCAAAACAATAAAATGGCAAGCAATAAACAAATTAAGGATAATAAAAGAATTAAAACAAATAAGTAATAAATAAATGAATAAATAAATAGATAAATAAATAATAAGTAAATAAATAAATAAATAAATGAATAAATAAATAAAAATTGAAAATTGAAATAAATGAAAAATCGTTTTCAGCTTTCTTGCAAACAGAACAAGGCTTTCTCGTGTCAGGTAATTCAGAGCTGCTTTTAATTTCTTTTTTTTTATTTCTTTTTATTTCTTTTCATTTATTTTTATTTATTTCATTATTTTATTTATTTCATTATTTCATTATTTTATTATTTTGTTTATTTTATTTATTTATCTATTTTATTTATTTATCTATTTTATTTATTTTATTTATTTTATTGTTTTATTTATTTATTTCTTATTTCCTTTTGTTTGTTTTATGTGTTTATTTCTTTATTTGTTTATTT